TCGGTCCCCCCTCGCGCCCCTCCGCCGCATTTCGACCTCCTCTCGCAGCCCTTAGTTCCCCGCCCCCGCTGCCTGAACCCGAGACCCCGATCTAGTCAAGATGTCCGAGGCGGCAGGAAATCTCAATAGCCTCCGCATGGCAAATGTAGCCCTGCAAGAAGAATTAAATGCCCTTCGTGGAGAGAATGCCAGTTTGGGCCTTCAGCTTGGAAGAGCCCTGGCCGAGGTTAATTCCTTGCGGGGCAATGTCTCGAGTTACATCCGCTGGCCAATGCCCATAGTGCCTGTACTGGCCGAGGAGAACTTTGAGTTCCCGCTCAATGAGATCGACACCATTCCCCAGGAAGAGGTCCCCTTCTTGTGCTGGCCTCCCCCACGCACGGATTCCGACTATGTCTCGAATGATCTTTTGATTAACGTAGTCCAGGACTACATCACCCCCGACGGGTCCAACGACCCTCCCTCAGCCCGCCCCCGCAGGCCCTGCCCCCCCCGGCGTCAGAGGAGCCGCCCCCACAGCCGCTTCTGCCACCACTGGAGCGGCCTGACATAGAGCCCTTTTCAGGCAATCCAGTCTACCTGGCCGAATTTCTGATGCAGCTAGAGACCTTCATAGCTGACCATGAGGATCATTTCCCCGGGGGCGCTGATCGGGTGGCCTTTCTGATCTCCTTTTTCACTGGGGAAGCTAGGGATTGGGCCATCTCTGTCACCCAGGAAGGCAGCTCCCTGCATGCCAACTTCCCGCGCTTCCTGGATGAAATCCGTAAGGAGTTCTGTGGCCCCATTCCCCCACGTGTGGCTAAAAAGGCCATCCGAAAGCTCAAACAGGGAGATTGCACCCTGGGCAGCTATGCTGATGCTTTTCAGTACCTGGCCCAATTCTTGTCTTGGGATGACTGCCGCCTCCAAAACCAATTTCTCAAAGGCCTGTCAGAATTCTTCAGAAAGGAGCTCTTATGGTCAACTGAAATGGCTGACCTGGATGAGCTGATTCTTGAGTGCGTGGAGATAGAAAGAAAAGTGCGCGTCCCCAAGCCGATCCCGCTCCCTGGGGTTCGCAATGTTGTTTTCCCTTTTGCTTCGAACCTTAATGAGGATGAAACTGGAGGTGTAGAGCACTACAGTGAAGATGAGGATGGAGAGGCATGTAGGAGTGGGCTTTACCTGAAGGACCAGCCGAACCACATAAGGGTTTTCCAGCAAGAGATGAGGGAGGAGGAGGAGGAGGAGGAGGAAGAGGAGATGAGGAAGGAGGAGGAAGAAATGAAGGAGGAGGATGACGACGAGGAAGATGAGGAGGAGGACTATGATGAGGAGGATGAGGATGAGGACGAGGACGAGGATGAGGAGGATGAGGACGAAGATGAGGATGAGGATGAAGATGAGGATGAGGAAGAGGAGGAAAAGGAGGAGGAGGA